TGGAGCTGCGTGGGGAAAGTAAATCATTGTTTTGGGTTCATATTACTTTCACTGAACTTTACTGGCATGCTTGATTCATATTTCCTTACAGTGTTTTGAGCTCATACATCCTGAAAACTCAAATACAAACCTTCCGATGGCACCAGGAGGCAAGGCCAGCTTTCCCTCCAGCCTATCTTCTAAAACACGGTGACAATCTTCTTCCACTTCTTACCACGAAAACAGAGTTATTGCTTCTTTTCATGAGCTACCACTGGCCAATCTAATGATTTCCAGAAGTGACACGAGTCTGTCTTGTTTCTGTTGTTAGACTGCATGTGAGAAGAGGACAGGGCTATGAAGGGCAAGTTGCATTACATCCAGCGACTGCAGGTTTCTATCAGCCTCTTTTATACTGTTACCTGCAGTTCAAAAGCAGACGTATCTTTCCAATCTTTTACTGGATATGAGTAGCAGTATATAGAGAGGATTTCAATCATTTTTACTCTCATTTCACATGTTTTGTCCAAAGCTCAATGTAGATGGTCAAAACACTTTGAGCCAGTGGTTTTCATTTGCTCAGTGTGCATGCGGTTCCAAGCACTACAGGGCCCCACCCTAGTAGAGGACATTAAGTACTTGTCTGATAAAAATGCTAAATAATTGATCACAAATCCCCAAACCATACAAAGCGATGTAATTTCTTCTCCCTGATTTTGTTACGCTATTATTTATATCAACATACAGTATTGATACAACAAATTTGTAATGAAGTCCCAGAGATGCTTTGATTTAATGTGGTTACAGGGACTATCATTGAAAGTGGCAACAGATAGCTCTAATGGATTTTCTACTACCTTGTTTTCATCATCTGTAATAGACTTTAATCTGCCCTGGTCGGAACTGTAGGATGCCCACGTGTTCTTTCTCCAGACTTTAACAGATCTATATTTTATGGTTCGACAGTAAAAAGTAATTGCAGGGTTTATAATGTCTGTGTACCACTTCAACCAAAAGCCATCTATTTAGAGGCTTCTGGAAAGTTGAGGTGCTTCAGCTGTAAATGCATGAGCTGAGACTGGCCCTAGTCACGCTGTGGGCTGCTTAGCAGCCTCTTTTTCTTGAGGGTATATTCCAGTGACCTAACTTGCATTTCCTTTTCCTTTTTAGTAACACCAAAATAGAAAAAAAATTTGGAAAAGCTGTGGTTTAAGCTAAAAGGATTTTGCTCCTTTTTAACTCCTTTTATTGATTCAGAAGAAGCCCAGAACCTTGGAGGCTAGCTCAGGAGATGCTGCCTGACTGCTGGAGCAGCCACTGAGAGCAGTGTGCAAGAACAGCTGCTCACCTCCTTCCCAAATCAAATCCTTCAGCTGCAGCTCACGGTTGACAAAAATCCAGAATCAGTCTTGACTCACAGGCTGACCTCAAATTAGCTTTCAAAAGCTTTCAGAAGCTGAGATTTTGACAATCTCCCTGTAGGTAAGCAGGAACTAAGACGATCAGATAAAAACAAAATCATATTTTCTGTGTGTGTGTTGAATGACGGAGTAATTATACCGACTACCTCAAATGTTAGTGCTCCGCCAGACATTCATTCCTTCACAACTCTCTGAAGATCTGCCTTCTGCCACCATGGTAACAGCCAGCCTAGCAGAGAGAATTTTTCTCAGGGAGCAGGAGGAGAAGGTAACAGGGGGACTGGGCTCTTCAAAGGCACACATGCCCTCTAAACACCTGTCTGCTGTTTCCACCTCTTAAGGCTAAGAACAACTCTATCTGAATGTTAGCAGTGTCTTTTTACTGCACGTTATAAATGCAGTAAACCCACTATTATCAGAATGGTTAATCTTGCTTGACACTCCAGGCAAAAAAATCCAATACACTGGATTCCACAGGCATGACAGTACTTTGTAATATTTTGTTATCTTTCTAAAATATAATTAATAAGGAGAGTAGGGAATGTAGGAGAATCAAACAGCATTAAGATAAGCAGAAAGGTATATAAGTGGAGTTAAGCCAAATAAGTCTCAGCCATTTCAAAGACAGCATCTGTTGGAAGGAAGGTCCCCAGCTGAGAGACTGACAAGATCCAGTTGCAGCTGGCAATGACCCAGATGTCATTTGCTTAAATTATCTGAGACATATTTTTTGTCCTAACATGAATTACACGGTCTTACTGATGAGTCTAATAATGAAGTGCTGTTGTTTATACAGTACAGTCCTTGACTGTGCTACATATTGAAAGCTGCTGAGGAGGAAGAAAGAATTGTTGGTTTAGATCCTTAGCATCTTTGGTATTCCCAAAAGGCATTCAACATGGAAACCTGTGCATGTATAAGCAGGGGAAAAGATATGCTTATGTCATAAGGGTAGACAGAATCCTTGTAGTACTCTTGCTTTTTACTTTTAAAATAGTAACCCAAAACTACAAACTTGCCTTGACCAGAACAATGAACTTTCAAACTCTAACTAGAAATCATGTGAATCAAACTGCTACCTCCAGATAAATTATTTATTGGCATGCAAATAATTCTCTTCCACGCAAAATACATACATTATCTTCTTGCGTCCTTTTTTTCCACGAGTTAAATACTCATTCTGACACTGCACAGCTGACTATACAAAATTTGTCACTAGCCTAGTTCAGCTCACTTCTTGGAAAATAAGCAGAAATTTTCAGCTTGGAGACATTACAAGGTCCAGTGGGGGTATACTCTCTGCTGCAACCTTCCTTTGGCCTGGAAATCACCAAGCTGATGTGGTTCAGAAGCTGCTCTCAGCAGAGCAGCCACCAGCTCGTATGTTGTTAAGTGACAGCACATTCTTATTCCTATTTTCCAAATGTACTGTATCACTAAAGGAAGAGCTGCTGAATTACATCTTTATTTTGCAGCATCGCTAGCTGAATGTACCATAGTGCAGCTCTATATTGTTTCAGATTGCTCATGAGGAATCAGTGTGCTGGTACGCACACCTGATATGAGACTTTGGGGGTTTAGCTGCTAAATATCACTAAGAAACATGTGAACTCATCTTGATGAGGAAGAATATTCTGCTTCTACAGTTTTGCAGCTGAAACACACAGGGAACAAAGCAAAATGCAGCTCCAGAAAGTAAACAGAAAATGTGAGTTCTTGTGAGCATTGCATTATATTTCATCTCATACATACAGTCAAGATAGGAAAAAAGCGATACCTTATCTATCAGGTCTTGTTTATTAGGTTATGCTGTAAATAGCAAAGGAATACTGATGGAAGTGTCTGAAACCAAAAAGGGGGCTGGAGGTGGAAAAGGAAATCGAAGAGAAGGCTGGTAGATCAGATGTCCCCAGGCAGCTGCATATGCCCCTGACCAAGCCATAGGGCTGTAGACACACAGCAGCAAAGTTCCCCAGGCACATCCAGCCTCCCTTCTATGGTATTCGGCCCCTTGCAGCAGAAGAAGTGGAAAAATAAGTGAGTTTGGCATTTTGTACTTGAGTGGAAACATCCAAAGAAGAGCTTCGCGCTTTTCTAAAAGACTCACAAACTTGTTTCTCTACCTTATAATGCTCTATTTAAAAGCACTGTTATTACCAAAGACTGTGACTTGCTTCCAGCAGATCCTACCACTGCAGTAGCCATGTACCAGTTATGGGAATTGGAGCACTCCTGGCCGAGCTCTTGCTTGCCTGTCTTGCACATGTAAGCAGATCTCTTAGCTTACGAGAAGCTACATAAGGAACTATGCAGAGAAGAATTTGGTCACATTGTGAATCAGATAAAAATATAATCCCTGGGGACAGATGCTCAGTTTGATACCTTGGCATGGCCTCATAGACTTGGAGTGAACAGAAGGGTCTGGCTGTATGAATATGTAAAGTGAATAAAAGGATTATTGTGAAGCAGAAGGCAATAACCACAGAGAAAAAAAAATGATGTTTATTGGGAAGCTCTTCCTGTTCTTAGACCAATATGAAAAGACATTATATTACACAGAGATGTAAAAGGGGTATGACTGAGTACTTGCTTTTGCTTACCAATCAAACCTCTAATTCATTATTTCTGTATTTCTCATAAAAGACTGATAATGGTATGCAATGCTTCACCCAATTTCAGGTGTCATTGACATTTGCAGCTCTTACAACTGTACTTCACGCAGAGCCCCCTGTCCAGATATTACCAGTAAGAAATGAGCTAAATTCACTTCTTCAGAAAGCAGGCTTTGCTAAGAGGTCATCAAGAGCTTACAGATGTCCTGCAGTGTTCAAAATACATGCTGCAATAGACCAGGTCATTCTCTGATACTCTTTCATTTCTTCTAGTCTCTCTGCCTGTTATTTTTGTAATTGCCATTTCACATCCCCTTCTCTTTCTGAGAACTACTCAGATTCTATGGTTTGGATTAAATGCATTTGAAGCCCAAGCTGTTGCCGGGCAGCCACTTCATGATAAAATTAGTCTTACAGCTCAGAAAAGACACTCCTACTCCTCTCTTGTAACCATGCTAGCTGCAGCTTTTCTTGCGTTGGCTCTTGAGCCTTCTGTGGCCTTGAGAAACATTGAAGACTCACTATACATGCAGAGGAAGCTACACGACTCACAGCTGGAGCACAGGTTCATGCATGCCACTGCAGAGGACCTCTGCTATTCCCTCAGCGAAAGCAAAAGGTTATTGAATTGTTTTTAAGCAAATAATGCAGTGTCTTTTGAGCCATTCAGCTCCTGAATGGGGGCAGTTACTGAAGCAGTACTCCCTCGTGCTGTGAGGCAAGACTAACTTATACCTACAAAGAACTAGTGAAAAGGGTTGAATTAGTCTTTCATGCTTGCTCAGATTCTGCCATGCTCCACCCAGAGACTTAAATCTGCCCATAATGAACAACCAATCCCTTCATGCATAGAGGTTTTCCATCTCTAAGTTATCATAGTGTCCTTGTCGATCCCTGCTTTTTATTTATCAATTTCCTCCCATTTCTTATCGTAAACTGCTTTATTTAAATGCCTCTCTGATGCCCACTTTGCCCAATTGCACCTTACCTGTTCCCCACCCTTTCTTTTCAATACAGATCTGGGGGATTGGCAGGGATTCAGGAGAGAGTGGTAGTTGGTGTTATCATCTCTTTATTTTTTTCCCACGGTCTCCATTCCTTCTCTTTCCTTTGGCTCTAAAAGAGATACACAATTTCTCAGGCCCAGTAAAATACCATTTTTGACCTATATATTTTCTGCACTATGTGATATTTATTTGCAAAGTATGCTTCCCATTTATCTTAAAACCGAATATTCAAATACTATTTGCTTTCCAAATCCTATATGTCCACAATTTACAGTGATCTCACAATGTAAATAGTAATGGCTACATAAAATTTAATTAGAGGAAGATAGTACCTCACATTGGGTATCTCAATATAGCATGGCTGAAATGGTAAGAAATAATTTTTTCTTAGTGCTGATTTGGGCAGTGAAACATTTTGCTGGAGTTAGGGAAAGGACATCATTGACAACAGGGACAACATAATCCTTTCCTGGTCATTTATCACCTATTTCTTCCACAGAAAAATGAACATTCCAGATATGAGTAGACCCAGTGACCATGGAAGCCAATGGATATCTGTCAGCTGACAGTAATGCTCAGACCCTTAATTACTTCCTTCTAAATAGCACGAAAGTAACAAATTCCAAAACCTACATAGCAGGACAGAGAACATTTGGTGAATGAGAGGATCTTTAAAAGAATTCTCACTATTTCTGTGATGCCTAACTGCTTATGCTCACATCAACCTGTTTTCTCCACAAAAAAATATAACTTCCCCTCAGCCCTGCTTCCTCTCTCATTGAAAATGGATCTTTCACAAAATTGCACAAAGCAGAATCACAGTTGCCTTTCAAAGCTCTCCTAAATTCAAATGCATTTTGCAGCCACAATGTCTACCAGACACATCATTGGATAGACACACCTGATGACCAAAAATCATCAGGTTTTCCCTAGAGGAAAATTTTGTCAACAGTGAGATGTGAACAGAACTCTCAAACAGTATATACTTAGTAAAACTTGGAAGACTGAAGAGAAGATTTGAATGAAGTCTGCCTGTAACCTTGCCATATTCCTAGAGACCCCTGTGTTCAAAGAACCCAAGGAGTGTTTCTAGTGCTTTCAAGACCTGCTGTTTGAAGATAGTCATCCAGGGAGCCAGGGAACCAAAGATCCTGAAGTTCTAGATCTAACTGAGCTCAAGATCTGCAGCAGAGAGTTTGGAAATTACTAAAACCTTTATTTTAATTGGGCTTCTTTGACTGATGGTGTGACTTCCCATAGGAACAGGGTTGGGTTCTGAAAGTCTTCTTGAGAGCAGTGGGTGTGTTGGATGGTCCAACTGGTCTGAGGCTTAGGACACTCCCTGTCCCATCACAAGGCAGCCCGCAGGAGTGTGCTGCCAGGGAAAGTCAGACCTGGGAGCACAAACACCCATCCACATCAACAAACATTTTCCTCAGCAGCAAAGATCACGAGAACCAGGATCAGATTTTCTAGTACCCTCGTTCAACCATTCTGAAACCATTTTTCCAATTGGTACATAGCTTCAAAACCTTTCCTTCTGTTTGACTCATAAATGCAATGTAAGGTTTGTGTTCTTGGCTTTTTCAAATAGCTTTTTGCAAACTATTTTATCCTGTGGTTTCAGCTGTGACAATTTCTCGCTAGACCAACTACTGATGGCTAAAATATTATTGTGTTTTTCTGCACTCATTTTGTTGTCTCTAGCTGGTATTTCTCATTGTACTGTTCAATTTGTAACAGGACTATTCCTTCAGCTTATTTGTGTACAGGGCTAGACACAATAGAGCCCTGTTTCATAATTGTGTTGAGGTAATGCCCAAGGCTCTCAGCAAGAAATAATAATAAATGACATGACACAACTGTGCTGAGTCACACCTTTTTAAAGCCCAGATCTTTTTGAGGGACACAAGAGCAGAGATAAAAACAGCCATGGGCAGCAAAGAGAACCTTCTGAAAACAGCTCCTGGTAACCATTCAAGTCAGTGGCCATAAAGAACAATAGAACAGCTGTTACATAAATGGAATGCTTATAACTACACACAGAAAACCTACAAATTTCAGCAACAAAACCATTAGCCTTTACTACACGAGTGGTACAGGACCTGCTGTTTCAGTAATGTTCTGCTGGGTCACATAAACCCTGTAGGGAAAACACAGCAAGGTCTGGCATCCATCCATTACTGAATCTGTTTAGGGGCAGCTGGGAAACTACCCTTTTCAGACCTCGAACTTGGAGATGCTCTAATGGTGTAGCCAGTGTCAGTATATGAGAACTGTTACATGACCAATGTGTTCACAGGCTTCAGTTTACAATGAATACCTTACATCGTCTTTCATTAATAATTAAAATAAAAGCTCTAATTTTTTACAGCTGTTTCAATCAGTTCTGCTCATAGACTATAGTCTCCTAAAATACCAGAATCACAGATTATCACCATTTCTGAATCATCTCTTTAGCTTGTGATCATAGTCAGTGCAATCCTTTTACTGGGAATTTCAAAACCATCACATACCTGTTTTCTACCTAGTGGCATCAGTAACCCACATTTCCATACAAGAGAGAGTAAAGTATATTCTGAAGGTGACATCGTGGAGACGAATCAGAACATATGTTAAAGATGGCACAAACCTGGAACTAGTGTTTTTTTTTCCTAGGGCTTTGCTTTTGGTTGTGTATTAGAGGGTTTTTTTTAGGGAGGTTGTTATTTTATTTTATTTTAACTGTACTAGGTGGTCCTCCTAATTTGTTATGATTTAAAACAAACAAACAAACAAAAAAAGCAACTTAGGAATAAAGGAATTCTATAAAGTCCTTCCACATTCTTAGTTTCCATGGTCTAATATTCCCCTTATAGCACTGCTCTGTTCTCTCTTGATGAGGTCAGGACTGAGGAAATCTATTAGAGGGTTGTTTCATTTCAAGGGCAAGGTAAGCTGAAGACCACTTATTTCCCAAGACAAGGTTTCTTCAGTTTGATGTGCTTGTAAGCAAGCCAGAAACTAATGAGATCACTGAGGAAACCAACTCTCCTTCATTATAGATCATCAATAATATTCTAGACAATGTTGAAAATAGTTCATATCATGCTGCCTCTCTAACTTGTATTGTAACCTTTTAGAGTAGTTACTGTGAACATTGTTTGTGACAATATCTTGAAAAAGCAATCAATGCTTGCCAAGGGTATATTTTCCTACTTGTTTATTCTATTATCCGTTCAGTGGCAACAGCAATCATTTCAGGTCTTTTATGCACTGATATGTTGCTAATGATGAATATAGCTAGGAAGGATCAAGACTGTTCCATGCTGAGTAATACAGAAGAAAATATGCCCAAATCACCACCACTGTAGCATCTGAAGAAATTTTGCATACAATGAAAAGTAAGAGGAAAGTGGACTTCTTCCCCTCTCATCCTACAAATAAAAACATTACCACAGATATTGAAAAGAAATGAACCATCTACCAAGTGGACCAAGCTTGTATGAAGGAAAAAAGAAAAACAAGCATTTTAATGATGTGGGGATTAGGGTTTTGTGGCAGCAAGAGAAACAATATTTGATTTTGTGGACCCGGCTATTGGTACTCCCTCCACCCATTTTTGCGTTGGTCTGTATTTTACGTTTGCCAAAAATTCCAATGTTGAAGATGTAAGATTTTGTTTTATGTCCGTATTTCATAAAGAAAGTAGAGAAAACCAATCTAGAAATCCATTGGTTGATGGTTAATGATCATTCTTGCTTTGAATTCCTTCTGTCTGCTTCTCCTGCACTTCTAAGAAACCATGAACTGTTTCATCCTCAGGAAATACAACAAACCTTAATTAGCAAAAATAGAAAATCTTATGGAGATTTGGGAAATGCTCTGAAAAATGCTGCCTATCTCCTGCGGCAAAATATTGCAGCAGGGACAGTTGCAATACTGGTGGAAACTACTGGCAGAGTGATACTGCAAAATACATGTGACTGTAGAACCAAATATGGCTGTTTCTCTGCCGGAAGGAGCTGAACACAAGAGCACACTGTGAAAAGCACAACAGTGCCACAACAGTGGCAATAGTGTGCAGCAGTAAGAACAAGGCTTGTGTAGAAAAAGGAAAGTGAATGAATGTATCATCTAAAATAATGGAGCTAAGTTAAATATATATTAACTTTTGTGGAGTTACTGCTTGATGATATTGAAGAGCAATTTTTCTTTTGTCGAAAACAGGTACAACATTTTTTTGAGAGTCCTCCACATAGAGGCCAAATTTCTTTTAAGAACTTCAAAAGAAAAAACATCCATACAGAGAACAATGGAAGATGCTGGACTGAGTAGACTAGCTTTATCCAGTAGCTGAGGACAAAGAAAGGACTAAGACAGACAGACAACAATCACTTAAGCTGGAATTAGCCAAGGCCCAGCAATAATACTCAGCTGTTGGGTGGATATGTATACCCTTACAAAAGGTCAGCTAATCACACCATGATTCACCTAGATAGTTTACTTGTTGTAAACAAACACTTGCCTTTTTGAACTGAGTTAAATCAAGCTGGTTAAGAGTGGTGCTCTCCAGGGGTCAGTATTGGAACCGGCCCTGCTAATATCTTTATTGATGAGCTGGATGAGAGGATTGAGAACACCTCTCAGTAAATTTGCAAATGACACCAAGCTGGGAGGAAGTGTTGATCTGCTCTATAGTGGTTCTTACAGAGGGAAGGGTAGACTGGATCGATGGTCTGAGGACAATTCAGTGAGGTTCAACATCACTAAGTGCCAGGTCCTGCACTTCATTAATGACAACCCCACAAAATACTACAGTTTGGGGCGGAGTGGCTGGAAGGCTGTGCGGAAGAAAAGGGATCTGGGTGTGCTGGCTGTTTCTAGAGAAGGGCAGTGAAGCTGTGAAGAGTCTGGAGCACAGGTCTTATGGGAAGTGGCTGAGGGAACTGGGACTGCTCAGTCTGGAGGAGGCTCAAGGGAGACCTTACCACTCTATAGCCACCTGAAAGGAGGCTGTGGCAAGGTGAGAATCAGCTTCTTCTGCCAGGTAGCAGTGATAGGATGAGAAGCAATGGCCTGTTGTGCGAGGTTCAGGTTGCATATTAGGAAAAGTCTCTTCTCCAGAAG